CACTACAAAGAGCAATAAACTATAAGTAACTACATTTTCACGTGACATCACTACCCAACAACGTTGCCATTTTGATGCTTCAATATGTGTATCTTTTATATTTCATGAGCAACGACACTAACCTACAGTTTTATTGTGTACGAATCGAAGCTAGTAAAGTAGCTCAACCAAGGGTAGTATTCGTTCCAAGGGAGTGGTAGTGAAAGTTATAACTACTTTGAATTTCATTGTAAATAGTGATAATTTAGGCTTTTTCAATTATTAAAACAAAACAAGTTTAATTTTTGACACCATAGTGTGAAATATCAAGAAGGATAGGTATATGCTAACTCTTTAAAATATATCTAATCTTATCAACAAGCAAGACTCAATGATAATGTCAACACATATTTTCCAGCTCACACCCCAAAAATGGGAACTTTGTCACACCCCTTTTTCGCGCAGCGGCGTAAGGTTTTTTCCAATTTAGGTGACGTTATTAATTAGGGGATTATTTTGATTTTTTCAGAGTAGCCACTTGGAATTGAGTTACGGTGTTCCAAGTCACCATTTTGTTTAATCCCTAATCAAAAGAAAATGACTCTTTATTTGGTCTGCGAACCAGTTTGGGTAAGGAGTTATATTGACTGAGGGGAAGGTATTAGGCATCCCTCGAGTCCCGTGGTTCTACCGCGATCACTTTAATTAAAAATATATTTAAATATATTAAAAATCTACCTTATTTTATTATTCAATGCCCTTTAATTAAAAATATATATACGCATATAAATTAAATCAACCAAAGCAGAATAAAATAAGATATTCTTCATTTTTACTTTTTCTTTTGTTATTATTATTTTTTTTGTTCTATTTTTTACGTTTTTTTTCTTTTTACCTTCTCATCTTTTTCTATTCTTATTATTTTATTGTTATTATTTATTTTTATACTTTCAAGGTTTTATTTGTTTTTTTTATTATTCAACTTAATTTTTTTTCTGTTTGGACAAAGAAACTTTCAAAAAAAATTCTTTCCTCTTCAATTGCATGTTTTTTTGTATATCATTTTTATACTTCTTTTTCTATCATTTATTATTTCTATTTTCTCTTTTCCCCTTTTTTTATTATATTCTTTCTCACATTTTATTTTTTAACTTTTCCTTTTTTCTTTTTATTATTATTATTATTATTATTATTATTATTATTATTATATATATTTTTCTTCCATTTTTGTTCATTTTTTTTATGTCACTAACATTAAACAAAAATTCCACTAACTAAAATTAACATATTTACATAATAGAAACACATGTTATCATAATAAACTAAATATTAAAAATTAAAATGACTTGGAAAATACTTTTACTTAAATATAAAATAAACTATTGGTTATTCAAATATAAAATAAATCATGATTTGTTATAATAATTTGACACTAAATATAACAATACAAATGATCTAAAAATAAAGTTGATATGAACATTTGAACATACTTAATACAATAACATCAATAAATATTAATGGTTTAAACACATGCGAAATTTAACAACTTCAATATATTGCAATCCACTTTCGAATTATCATGACATAAACTAATACAAAATAAAATTAAGTATTACCTCTTGTAGAAATTATTTCACGAAGAGAAAGAGTTTAGGAACAACGAACTTGAAATCTTGAACTCCACTATTTTTTTAGTGCGGGTGTTCTTCACAGAAAAAAAAATTTCTTTGTTGTTTTTTTTTCTTTTCCCCTTTGTTGTTTTTCTTTTTCCCCTCTTTTCCTTTTTTTATTGATGTTGTTTGTTGATTCTTTTGTTCCTCTTCTTTTCTTCTTTTTTTTTCCTTTGTTGCCTCCTTTCTCTCCTTTCTCCCTTTTTTCTGATTCTTTTTTTTCCGTTCCGTGCCCCCTTTTTTTTTATGTAATTTTTATATAATAATAGGGGGTAGTGAGTTAGTTTTTTGATAGTTTTTCATTGGAGGTGGGGGTAGTAAAATGGTATGTGGGAATGTGGTTGTGGATAGTAGTTAAGTGGGATAATGGGTAGGTTATTATTATTAATTTTGATTGATAATAAATAATAATAATAATAATAACTAGTTATTTTGGCATTAAAAGAATTTATATAAAATAGCTAAATAAAAAAATATAATGAAGAAAATATTAAAATCAATAATTTATTTTCTAAATTTTGAATAAATAAAAAATAATGTAACTTAAAGGGTAACTCTATTTTGTTGTTTTTAAATCCTTTAAAATAAACTTCCTTTAAAATAAACTTATTAAATAAAAAATCTACTTTATATTTTAAAAAAAATTAAGCTCTAAAAGGGTATAAAACATAAATTCGGTCAAAATTACGTATCTACAATTTGCCCCTGTTTGATTGGAAACACAAAGAGTTTTCAGACAAACAAGTAGACAAAGTGACAAGTTTTGACCGAACTCTTATTTGAAAGACCAAAAATTTATGCGACCGATTCCTTGTTTTGGACAGCCTACATATCCCAAGTTATAGGGGAATCAGGTCACATGTAGTTCAAGGAGATGAGGTGATGAGTTTGAGTTAAGTGAGGTTCCATCGAGGCTCTAGATCGCGACTCTTTAAAAATATATAAAATTGAAAGCTAATAGTGAAAAGAAAAACAAATGTACAAACTTCTATCATGCAGCTTTTCTTGAATCTTCACTTGTATTTTGACTTTAAGATATCTTCTTGATTTTTGGATGAATATCTTAACCTAGAGTTGGAATGGAGAATGAACTTGCCACTTAGGCGGAACTTTTGACATTCTTCAACATGACAATTTGAAAAGTGCTTTTAAATAGTTGCGTGTTTTCTTGATCATAAGTTGACTAGTAAAAGATGTGAGGAAGTCAGGTTGCTACATGCATTGAAGAAGCTAATTCTAACCATCATGTAATTGATTGTTCTAAAAAAAATTTAACCTTTATTCTTGAATTTCAAATCCATGTCTCGCTTGAAGAAACCTGAAAACGACCAACAAAAAAAAAATTTGCCCAAGTTTTCACTGAAAAAATTTTGTGAGTTATTAGCAAAAATATAAATATTAAACATAAACTCCAACTAGGAAGTGTTTATTTTAAGAGAAAATAAAACTAAAACTCTAGACTAGAAAGTGTTTATCCTATGAGAGAGTAATCTAATCCCATTATTCAGGAGTGTCCTGCTAGTCCCATTATCCAGGAGGGTCCTGCTAATCCCAGTATCCAGGAGTGTCCTGTTAGCCCCATTATCCAGGAGGGTCCTGCTAGTCCCATTATCCAGGAGGGTCCTGCTAGTCCCATTATCCAGGAGAGTCCTGCTAGTCCCATTATCCAGGAGGATCCTGCTAGTCCCATTATCCAAGAAGGTCCTGGTAATCCCATTATCCAGGAGGGTCTTGCTAATCCCATTATTCAGGAGGGTCCTGCTAAACCCCGTTATCAAGGAGGGTCCTGCTAGTCCAATTATCCAGGAGGTTCCTGCTAATCCCATTATCTAGGAGGGTAATGCTAGTCCCATTATCCAGGAGGGTCCTGCTAATATAATTTTTAACAAACTAATAATACCAACGAAACATTGTGAATGCTATCTTCATTATTTGGAAGTTCATTCAAGGAGAAAAATAATAATAATACTCAAAATAATAATAATAAATAAAATAAATATTCCAACATTCAGGTAATTGCTATTTTGATATATATTATCTAACTTTCATATAATATTCCACAAGTCTTTATTGGAGGGTTTTCAATTCGCTCGCTGTAGACTAGGTTGAACATCTAGGTTCCTAAAATCTTCAATCTTGAAACAACTTGTGTCCCTGCTTCAACAAAGAAAATTCGTGACTTCGAAAAGGTGGTGGTTGGTTTGTAGTTCCATCTTTCGACAAGGGTGTCTCAAAAACTTATGATGCTTTAGTTGTTTCCAACGGCCAATACTTCTTATAGATTGATTGTACTTTCATCCAAATTTGCTTATTTTGGGACCTAAATCCAATGTATTTATCTCACAACACTCATTGTATAGTCTTCATAGGATCAGAGAGTTTTCGAATTCAACTCTTGAATATAGATTAACTCAGTAGCCTGATGCTTTTCCTAGTACCGTTTAGAGAGTTGGTAGCGAGTCTTGAAATTCCTTCCTAGTTTTTTGACAAAGACTCGACTCAAATACATAAAAAAAAAGTGACAAAAAATTATAAGAAAATTACAAACTATATGAGAATAAAAGAAAAGATTCGATGAATACTTTTTTTTTAGTAATGAGAAGAAAGAAAAACATATCTGAGTGTAGGAACCGATTTTACTAATCATGCCAAGCAATTTGAATTGATTTCAAGACATGGCTATTTAATCTATTCATCAACCATTATTGATCATTAAATCTTGATGTGGAATCCGAAACATAATGAACCCATAAATTATTTTGAACCTTTATACACTTTGTGATATTCATGAAGGTCTTTGCCGCTAAAACTCTATCATCGTAATTGCTCCAGCTCACGTCTGCCTTATGGTGCATGTAAGAATTTTCACCAATAAGACTCTCTTATATTCAACTCCTTTTCGCCTTACAGTGCCCACTTAGGGTTTTCACCAATAAGACTCTCATTTTTATTTCTTTTTACTCACATTTGTTTTATGGTGCCCATTCAGGATTTTTTCCTACCCTTAACCAACTTACTCTCGACAATCAAGGGTTGATGCAAAGACTTTTTTTTACTGACTTTATATGATGGGGTTCATTTTGAGCTTTGAGATGAGACACCAAATGAATAAACAAACGACTTTTGCCCCAGTATACTACAATATGAATTTTTGGATTTGTATTTGGTTGAACCGAACCCAACATTAGGGCTGCCTACGTATCATGCCGAAATAAGAATCAGGTCAAACGTAGTTCAGGTAATTTTTTTTTAAAAAGTCAAGGAAACAACATAACTAAGAGATCCCATTAAAACAACCCTTGAAATGTCGAGCCCAAACATAAGGGTTTCTAATTCGAAACTCAATCATATTTAATATCTTTTCACAGCATCAGGATTGACGACCGTTTCTGTCACTTTGCCTTCTATATCTGTTAAATAAAGAGCACCATTGGGTAATACCCTTTTAACAACGAATGGTTTTCTCCAATTTGGAGAAAATTTGCCTTTGGTTTCGGCATGATGTGGCAAAATGTTTCTCAACACTAATTGACCCTCTTCAAAATGTCTGGGACGCACCTTTTTGTTGTATACCCGTGCCATTCTTTTCTGATATAATTGTCCATGGCATACTAATGTCAGACGCTTCTCATCAATTAAACTTAATTGCTCTAACCGAGTTTTGATCCACTCATCATCATCAATTTCAGCCTCCACAACAATTCGTAAACATGGGATATCAATCTCTGCAAGTATAACTGCCTCAGTCCCGTATACCAGTGAATATAGGGTAGCGCCCACTGAGTACAAATTGTAGTGAGATAACCCAACAAAGCAAAAGGAAACTTTTCATGCCATTGTCGAGAACTTTGCACCATCTTACGAAGTATCTTTTTTATATTCTTGTTAGCAGCTTCTACAGCCCTGTTTGCCTTTGGGCGATACGGAGTCGAATTTTGATGCTCAATCTTATATTTGTAGCATACCTCTTGCATTAAGTGGCTGTTGAGATTTGCGGCGGTATTATTTATAATCACCTTTGGAATACCAAACCGACAGATGATGTTCAAATTGATGAAATACACCACGACCTTCTTCGTCACTGACTTGAAAGTTACTGCTTCAACCCACTTTGTAAAATAATCAATAGCCACCAAGATAAACCTGTGACCGTTTGATGCTTTTGGTTCTATCGGTCCAATCACATCCATTCCCCATGCCACAAAAGGCCATAAAGCATACATTGCATGCAATTCAGAAGGGGGCCAATTTATCAAATCACCATGTATTTGATATTCATGACATTTACGAACAAATCGTATGGAATCCTGCTCCATGGTGAGCCAATAATATCCAGCTCGAAGTATCTTCTTGGCTAGATCATATCCATGAATCTGAGGTCCACAAACTCCTGAGTGTACTTCAATCATGATTGTGGAAGCCTCTTGAGCATTTACACGCCTTAGGAGACCTAAATCGGGTGTCTTCTTGTACAGTATGCCTCCGCTTAAGAAAAAACCCCTTGCTAGTCGTCGAATAGTCCTTTTTTATTACTGTTACATCCGACGGACATTCTCCAGACTGAAGATATGTTTTGATATCATGAAACCAAGGTTTACCATCAAATTCCTCCTCAATCATGTTGCAATAAGTATGTTGATCACGAATTTGTATGTATAAAGGGTCGATATGAGCTCCATTAGGGTGTTAGAGCATCTAAGATAAAGTGGCCAATGCATATGCAATCTCATTCTGCACTCTGGGAATGTGTCTACACTTTATCGACAAGAATTGTTGACAAAAATCTTGTAAGCATGTTGATATGGTATGAGCTTTGGGTCTCGAGTTTCCCATTCTCCTTGAATTTGATGAACCAGTAGGTCTGAGTCTCCTAACACTAACAATTCATGGATACACATGTCAACAGCTAACCTTAGACCCAAAATGCACGCTTCATACTCAGACATATTATTGGTACAATAGAATCTAAGTTGGGCTGATATAGGGTAATAATCCCCTAATTCAGACATAAGAACAGCTCCTATTCCCACTCCTTTCCTGTTAGAGGCACCATCAAAGAATAACTTCCAAACGTGATTGTTATCTTGAATAACTTCATAGATACAAGATATCTTTTCATCTGGAAAAATAGGTTTTAAGTGGTTCATATTCTTCATTAATAGGGTTCTCTGCCAAATGATTTGTCAATGCTTGAGCTTTCGTTGCGGTCCGCGTTATATAGATAATGTCAAACTCTGTGAGAAATATATGCCATTTCGCAAGCCTGCCTGTGGGCATTGGCTTTTGAAAAATATATTTCAACGGATCCATACAAGAGATGAGATAAGTAGTGTACGATGAAAGATAATGTTTCAACTTCTGTGCTTCCCAAGTTAGGGCACAAGACATCCTTTCAAGAAGGGTGTACTTCCCTTCGTAAACGGTAAACTTCTTGCTGAGGTAATAAATGGCCCGCTCTTTCTTCCAGTGTCATCATGCTGACTGGTACACAACCAAAAGAATTATCCAGTACTGACATATACAATATCAAAGGTCTTCCCGGATAAGGAGGACAAACACAGGGGGATTCAATAGGTAGTTCTTAATTCTTTCAAAAGCTTGTCGACATTCTTCGGTCCACTCAACTATGGCATTCTTTTTCAAAAACTTAAAGATAGGATCACAAGTTTTTGTGAGTTGAGCAATGAATCTGCTGGTGTAGTTTAACCTTCCTAGAAGGCTCATAACCTCAGTTTTGTTCTTTGGAGGTGGCAATTCTTGAATTGCGTTTATTTTTGAAGGATCTAAATCGATACCTCTTCGAGTGACTATAAACCCCAAAAGCATCCCCGATGGTACTCCAAATACATATTTTGCAGGATTAAGCTTGAGATTATACCTGCAGAGCCTTTCGAAGAATCTCTTTAAGTCTTTCACATGATTTGACTGTTTTTTAGATTTAATGATAACATCATCCACATAAACTTCGATTTCTCTATGCATCATATCGTGAAACATGATTGTCATTGCTCTCATATAAGTTTCCCCTGGATTTTCTAATCCAAAAGGCATAACACTATAACAATATGTACCCCATGGGGTGATAAAAGATGTTTTCTCTGCATCTTCATCATCCATAATAATCTGATGGTAACCCGCATAAAAATCCACAAAAGATGCAACCTCATGTTTAGCACAATTATCCAATAAAATATGGATGTTAGGAAAATAAAAATCATATTTTGGACTTGCCTTATTAAAATCAGGATAATCAACACACATTCGAACTTTGCCATCTTTCTACGGGAAGGGTACGATATTGGCTAACCAAGAAGGATATTGAGGGACTTGAATGACTTTGGCCTCAAGTTGTTTTGTGATCTCCTCTTTAATTATTACAATCATGTCTGTTTTGAGTTTTCTCAACTTCTACTTTATCGATGGAAAATTAGGATCAATTGGCAACTTCTGAACAACCATGTCAGTGCGTAATCCAGGCATGTCATCATAAGATGACACAAAAACATCATTGTAATCAAACAGGGCCTGGATTATATCGTCCTTTGGATGTCGAACATGTTCACTTATCTTAGTCTCCTTAATAATTTCATGATCCCCCAAATTTATCATCTCAGTTTCACTCATGTTTGGATTTGACTTATTCTCAAAATGATTGAAATCCCTCCTTACTTCCTCAAATACTTTGTCTTCATTCGATTTTTTGACTTATTATTTCAATATTAGGTCGAAGATAAGATTGGATATTAAGATCTGGCGAAAAATTCTGCAAGCATGTCATATCACTAGAATCGGCATAGAAAGAACTGTATAAAAGAAAATGAAAAAATATATTAGACTTAAATAAAGATGCAAATACATCCTATTAAAAAGAGAGATAGAGAGTTCGAAATAAAACGACAAGATAAAATCCGAATAATAATCTTTGAATGAATCGGATGACAAAAGAAAATACAAGACGGACTAGCAAGACTCATCTTTAACGGGGAGAGGGGTAGCCTCCCAATTGTTTAGCTTGACATCAGGACCAATGAATTGCACATCTTTGTCGCTAGTGCCTTCTCCGAGTTCCACCATATCAACCTCGACAAACAAATCTCGAAAATAGTTGATCATTTCTTCGCTTACTTTCATCACTGGCTCTGGAAAAGATGATTGATAAGATTCTGTTGTGCGGGCTTTCATGATAGATTTGTAGATTGGTTGTATAGGCTTGGTAAGTGACATACATCTCTCTTCTGCTTCTTTGCCTTCATTTTTTCCTCGACTCTAGGTTGGTAGCCTAAACCAAAAGTACTGATGTTCTTTCGTAGACTCACTGGATAATTTCTCCCTTGCAAGAAGATTCCTAAGCCTTTACCGGGCTCAAACCCATGTTTCAGCAATTCATTCACCACCATTACAGACGCGATGGGCATATTTGGTTTTGGAATGACACTCCCCTCGGGGACATGCTCAATAACCACTACCTCAAAAGCTTGATAAACTAGTGCCTCATTCTCATTATTCGCCTTGATAAAAGGGAAGGAAGAGTCTTTGTAGATTGACAAATCCCCCTCACCATGAACAATCACCTCTTGTTGGTCGTATTCAAACTTAATCATTTGATGCAACGTTGAGGGGACTGCTCCAGCCCTATGCACCCATGGCCTCCCCAACAATAGATTGTAGGACGCGTTGATATCCAACACTTGAAAATTCACAGCGAAATCCACAGGCCCTATGGTTAGTGGGAGCTCTATCTTACCAATGACATTTGTTTTTGACCCATCAAAAGCTCTAACACATACATTGTTGGGTCGGACCCTTTCAACACTAACATTCAATTTCTGTAGAGTTGATAAAGGACAAATATTAGCTCGAGATCCTCCATCAATTAGAACTCGAGTGACCTATGAAGGCTCACACTTTAAAGTGATATGTAGGCCTTGGTTATGTCTTGTAACTTCTTTGGGTAGTTCATCATCGGAAAAGGTAATGCGGTTTACCTCAAATATTCTCCCATCAATCTTCTCTAATTGACTCACTGTTACTTTACTAGGAACATGTGATTCATTCAAAATTTTCATTAGAGCTTTACGATGTTCATCAGAATGTATTAGCAAAGACAACAAAGAGATTTGGGCTGGAGTTTTTCTTAATTGTTCCACCACGGAGTAGTCTGATAGTTTCATCTTCCTTAGCAATTCGTCTGCCTCTCCTTCAGTGACCGGACTCTTTGTTTGTATATGGTCATTTTTAGTTTTCCTTAATTCCATCGGGACATAACATCTTCCTGAATGGTTTATTCCTCCTACTTCATCTATTTCTTCATCAATTTCTTTTCCCTTGGATGTCACGAAAGTAGGCTCATAATTCCATGTAACAGCTTTGGGGTTAGTCATAGGGAGCAGGGATACTGGCCTAATAATCACAGGAGGAATATGGGCCCCTTGCACGATCAAGATAGGCTTGTTTGGCCCTTTTGCGACAAACGATTTTGCCTTACTAGGACTTGCCCAAACATCTTCAAGTAGTCCTTTAACAGTTAAGATAGGTGTGTTTGATGGACTCAACTTTTCTAGCATACTTTCCGCCCCTAAAGGCATCATTTTTGTTAAATCAACAACATTCACCGACTTCTCAATGGCAGTTCCCACCCTAAGGATTGGCTTATACGGAGACACAAACTCTTCATGACCCTTCGTCTTTTCTAGCATGTTTGTTTCAGTATGTCTCGGAAATGGATTTTGATTGATGTTGGGTCCACTCGGACTTTCACCTATAATTCGATTAGAATTGATCAGATCCTAAATGGACCTTTTCAAATACCAACATCTCTGTATGTTGTACCCTAGGGAATTAGAACAGTATGCGTAATGTTGAGATTAATCTAAATTTCTCAAGGAAGGATTCGACATCTTTCTCTCAATAGGACTCAAAACATTCAACGTCCTTAAATTTTGGAACAATCTAGCATACAACTCTCAAATAGGAGTGAACTTATTTTTAACGCCATTTCCCTTCTTGTATTGTGGTCTAGGATGGAAAGGAATTCTAGCAGTATTTTGATGAATTTGTGGGGATGGTGGATGATTTTTTGGAGTTGGTGCACGCCATTGTGGATAAGAAGGGGGTGCAATTGGTTGTGCATTAAAAACATGATATGGAGTGTATGGAACAGAATATTGTGGAGCTTGGGAAGGAAAATAGTGTTGTGGGGAATTCTCTTGGACATGAGTCCTAGGCACTGATACAATAGTAACCACATCTTCCCTTCTCTTCTTCCCTCCTATATTTCCAGAACCATTTTGAAGCACTTGTGTTGTGGCTTTTAAGTCAGCATGACTTACAATATTTCAAGACTTGATGCCATTTTCCACCATTTCCCCTACCTTAATAACTTCATTGAATGTCTTCCAGACGGCAGAAA